CTTCCTGCGGAGCCTCTGCATTACATAAGACTATATGCGGAATCCTGAACAGCATCCAGAATCTTCAGAGGTGGGAAATTTCCACTTGAAAGGATGGGCAGACCAGCCTGGAGCAGCTAGAAGAACAGAAGATACTTCTTGTAAGAAAGACCGCCAGGAAAAATACAAAACAATATAGGCAAACCGACTGATTACTACAAGAACAAGTAAGTTGCTCGCCCAGGAGACATCAAGGCAAGTGGTCGGTTCCCCTCAGAGCAAATCCCCTTCCAAGACTAAGACTCAATGGAAATACACACTCTGTTTGGTGACCACGTTTGTCACCGATAAGGGGAAGTGAGGGAAAAACAGCAATGAAGCTGCAAGCTCAGCCCTACCACATTCAATAGACTCCTGTGAACCCGGGGGGAAGACCTGGTTGGCCAGTAGTGTGGCAAGACCTGGTGACTCTTGGGCCCAGAGTCAGTGACATAGCCACAGAGGACTAGAGTGGAGAGTGAAGCATCCAGCTGATAAGAAGAGAGAACATATTCACAAGAACACCCACACTTGCAGAGAATACCCACTTGTCCTGGCTTCAATGACTGGATGATCAGAGTTCAACTAGAAGAAGAAAGAAGAAGGAAGAAAAGAGTAATCTGATACAATTTGATGAACTTGACCTATACCTATGGATGCAGTAGCTGAAAAGAGGGAATAAATCTTTACAGTAAGGATCATTCCCACCCCCTCCATACACAGAGTAGACAGGGATGGGCAACTTGGACATTGGCTACCCAAAGTGGGGGGGCTACAAAGGCAAGAAATGACTGGCTTACAAGCTTTCAAGAGGGAATCTAGATCCAGAAGGCACGGAGGAAGGTAGTCTCTCCACTGAGTAGTAGCCAATCTGTCTAGGCGGGGCTGGTGAAAGGAGATACGGATAGGTCTCTGATGATACAATAGTGAATAATTGTTATCAGGACTGATTGTGAGGGTTGGAAATGTAAAGGTAGACATTTTGTAGCCAGGAGGGGAGTGATTAACTTTGCAGTCTAGGAACGGAGGTCCCTGGGACCATCAAGGGAGAAGAGAGGAAAGTGGGACCCTACCCACAGAAGCAGTGATGCCTGAGATGGAGGCAGAGACAATGACGTGGAGAGATGGAGCGGCTGGGGACTTTAGACCCAGAGAGGGAGAGGGGCTCTGTATTGATGACTGGGGGTCAGGCTTGTAGGTTATACCCTTGGTTGGTTGATGATGCATGGAGGGGATTGTAACCATGGCAATGAAATAATATACGATAGGATGAATGTAAAACTAATGTTCTCCCATGTAAACACTCATATAATTCACAATAAAACATTAAAAAAAAAAGTTAAGCAAATACAGAAGTACTATGTTCTTGTTAGGTGCCAGCAACCCTGCAAACAACAGAATAAAACATTGCTGGGTTTTGAGCCATTCTCATAATTGTTGCTATGTTTGCGTCCATTGTTGCAGCCACTCAACCCACTGTGTTAATTCATCTAACTGGGGGTCTTCCTCTTTTTGATAAACCTCTACTTTGGGAGAATTACCCTCTACTTTTGGGAGAATTACTGAGCAAGGTATATACTCAAATGAACTGAAAACAGGGACTCAGACAGACACTTCCACAGAAATCTCAAAACAGCAGTATTCACCACAACCAAAAGTGTCAATCAAGAGATGAATGGTTAGACAAAACATGGTACATAATACAACGGAATATTATCCCACCATAAAAAGGAATGACATTCTACAACATGAATGAAACTTGAAATAAGTCAGACACCAATGACAAATATTGTATGATTCCACTTATATAAATATATATATTGCTGTCAGGCGCTGTTGACTTGGTTCCAACTCATAGTGATCCTGTATAGGGTTTCTGAGGAGTGGCTGGTGGATTTGAACAGCCAACTTTGTGGTTAGCAGCCTAGTGCTTATCCTATAGTGCCACACTAGGTAAATTCATTGGGACAGAACACAAATTAGAGATTACTAACCAAGGAAAACATTATGGTACTTCCTCAAAAAGTTGGAAATAGAAATACCATATGATGCAGCAATCCCTCTACTTGGTATATCCTCAAGAAATGAGAGCCGTGATGCAAGTAGATATATGCATACCTGTGTTCATTGCACCAAACCGCAAGGTCGGTTTGAACCACAAGGTCAGCAGTTCAAATTTACCAGTTTCCATGAAGTAGCTGATGAATTTGAACCGATGACCTTGTAGTTCACACTGACCTTGGGGTCAAGTGCCTAACCTACAGCACCATATAAAATATATTTAAGATTAAGAAACTTACCCAAGGTTGTACAGCCAGAAAATGACCAAGTAAGAATTTGAACCCAAACCTATTGAGAACATGTAGGGCCTATGCTCTCAATCCCTGGGCTTTGCTGTCCCTGGAAAGAGCCGCAAACCTGGAGTGAAGACACCTGGGCTCTTGCTGCCCCTATCTTGTGTGATCAAATACAAATCTGACCTTTCAAGGATTTACTTTTCGCAGTTATTAAATTACAAAACTAGGTATTTTCCATAGTCCTTACTTGCAATGATCCTGACTAGCATCTGTGCTTTGATTTTGATTTAAAAATGTGGGAAATTCCAAGCCTTGATTCCTGACCCAAGTACTCTTTTCTTCTGGTGCACTTTTGGGGATATCCATGGACAGAGGGCTCCAGAGATGGGGACTAGCTGCCTTCTGACCTGTCAGCACTTCCCTCCAGGGTTTGCCATGGAATTGAGCCAGCCCTTGAGGAAGCCTCCACTCCCCGTTCCTCTCTCCCCATTCTGGAAGAGGGCTCCAGCCTGGCTCTGTTCCAGGATAAACTATCACAAGGCAAGAGATAGCGCAAAGTCAAGGTGAAGAGCACAGCAGTCTTTTAAAAGGCCTCTTTGTGCCCCAGTATGGCTGCAGCTCTCCCATCTCACAGCTGCCCATCCTGCCCACCAGCACCCAGACACCATGTGGGAGCTCCTAGCTGTCTTACTGCTCACCCTAACTTACTACTTTTGGCCCAAGGTAAGGCGCTCTGGTGTCAAGTACCCCACGAGCCTCCCATTCCTGCCCCTGGTGGGCAGCCTGCCTTTCCTCCCTAGGCATGGACATCCTCACATCAACTTCTTCAAGCTGCAGAAAAAATATGGCCCCATCTATTCGCTTCGTCTGGGAGCCAAGACTACAGTAGTTGTGGGCCATCACCAGCTGGCCAAGGAGGTGCTCATCAAGAAAGGCAGAGAATTCTCTGGGCGGCCTCATGTGGTAAGTTGTGTCCATCCATCCTCCTCCCTCCTCACCCTTTGGGGTTCAGTGTTTCAGGCAAAATGGTGGCTAGAATGACCCATCCAGCTCCAACTGTAGTACTGACAGACTGGCAGGGGAATGGGAGGGAAGTGGCCCTTAAGACCCCATCCAGCCTCTAAACTGGACAAGAAAAATTAAGGAAGACCTCTCCCAGGTTGCCAGGAGAAAGGGTGGGGTGGGGACAGTAGCCTGAGAGGGTCAGGGACTCCCCATTTCAGTTAACTCTCCCCCAAACTGTATGGTAATCTCTTTGGGTCTAGATTTCTTGCTGAGATCACATATATAGAGTCCTTAGCACAGTTCCAAGTACAGAATATACTCAATAAATAGTCATTATTAATGTTACTCCTGGTCCAGGAACTGGGTTCGTTATTACTGTCCTTCTTCCCTGAGATGGTGTTAGGAGAAGTAGCCTGGCTCTCAGACGTCTAGGGTTACTGGTTCCCTGGAACAGCCCCCAGCTGCTCCCCTTCATGGGGGAGCTGACCTGCAGTAGCATTTCAAGGATGCTAGTGCACTGTGGGTTAAATGTGCTGGACCACAACGTTGGTTTGAATGGCAAGGTATGTGGTTCAAGCTCACCAGTCGCTATGGGTCAGAACTGACTCGACAGCACTTAACAACAAAGCAGTTCTATTGGAATCCTGTTGTGATGCCATAGGATAAGCACTGATTGATAACTGCAAGGTTGGTGGTTCAAACCCACCAGTTGTTCCTTGGACACTCTATGCAGGGTCACTACGAGTTGAAACAGATTTGATAGTATGTAACAACAACAACAGTGGTCCTTCTGAGCTGGCTGTGGTGCTTCTAGAAAGGGTATTAACCCTTGGAAAACATTGCCAGCTCTCTGCTGTGGACTGCTTTTCTAAACACCCAGACAGGCCCCCTGCCAGTCTCTCAATTTTGACCTGACCAAAGGTTGACTCATTTTTCCATCTGTCTGCTGACCAACTTTGCTCTCACTTCTCGTGAGCCCTTCTCTCTAGGGCAGAGAGGATGGAGATGGTTAGTCACATAGGGCTGGGACTAAGGGATGGAAGAGGGGAGGCTTTAGATCCTTATACTCTTTGAGCTAGCTGCCTTTGAGAGAAGGTGGATTGGTCCAAATCCAGATTAGGTAAACAAGACATTCACATTCTCTGGATATGAAAGGCAAACTTTCCACAAAAGGTCTCACAAGTGGACAGGTAAACAAAGAAGAAGTGAGCTGTGCTTTAGCACCCCACGGACCCAGGGAAAAGCAGAAGTCTGGGCAATCCTTAATCTCTACAAGCTGGCATGTTCCCTGTCCCCAGGACAGCACAATTCAGAAGGCGTGTGGTGGCGCTATACAATAAGCACTGGACTGAGAACCACAAGGTCTGTAGGTCGAGCCTGCCAGCCACTCTTCAGGAGAAAGATGAGGCCTTCTACTCCCATGAAGAGTCAAAGCCTCAGAAACGCTATACAAGGTTGCTATGAGTCTGAACTGACTCGATGGCACATAATAACAACAATCTGATTCACAGCTGAAGTCCTGGTGTGGTGCTGTGGAATAAGCATTGGACTGCTAACTGCAAGGTTGTTCATTCAAACCCACCAGTCACTCCCTGGAAACCCTGTGCAGGGTTACTATAAGTTGGAACTGACTTGATGGGACTTAACAACAACAGCAGTGCATTCACATCTGCCCTCCCTTGGTCAGAAACTAATGAAAAAGGAGAAACCACACTGTTAGTAAACTGAATCCTCATACTCCTGCTTTCTAACTCAGGGTTCTTTCTTTCTCCTCCCTATACTGTCTCCCTAATGGAATTGGGAGTAAGGTGATCAGGGCTTGTCCTCCCAACTCCCTTTCTAGTCATGGAGCAGGATGTTCCCAAGTGGGGGTCTGTACACAGGTACTTGCATTCTCCCTCAAGAAGGGGGAGAGGTACAGGAGGTTCAGAGCAAGCACAGGGTAAGTGGTGTCTGACTCCTATATCCTTGTCTGCTTCCAAAGACGACTCTGGCCATCCTGTCAGATAACCAAAAGGGGATCGCCTTCGCTGATAATGGTCCCCAATGGCAGCTGCATCGGAAGCTGGTGCAGGCTGCCTTTGCCCTGTTCAAGGATGGCCACCAGAGGCTAGAGAAGATGAGTGAGTACCTGGCTAAGCCCTGGGGCTGGGTGGGGGATAGATGGCTTTAGGAGGGGAAGAGGGTTATGAGTGGTTGTTATTGTCAAATGCCCGAGTCGGTTCTTACTCATAGTGACCCTGTATAAAGTTTCTGAGGAGCTGCTAGTCAGTTTGAATCTACAACTTTGTTGTTAGCAGTCCAATGCTTATCTTTCAATGCCACACCAGAACTCCTAAAGATGATTGGTGGTGGTTGTGTGTCGTGGAGTAGGTTCCGACTCATAGCGACCCTGCGCAGGGTTTCTGAGGCTGTAAATCTTTATGGGAGCAAAAAGCCTCATCTTTCTCCTGCGGAACAGCTGGTAGTTTCGAACTGCTGACCTTGAGGTTTGCAGCCCGATTCATAACCACTACTCTACTCTGTGGGTAGTTAGTCCAGTGTTTTTCTTGACTACTACTGCCATCTAGTGTCCATATGTTTGTTCTCTGCCTTGGCTAAGATGCCTCTCTCTTCCCTCAGTACTTCAGGAAATCAGCTTGTTATGTGATTTCCTGGCAACTCAAGATGGACAGTCCGTAGATCTGGACTTGCCTGTCTTCCTGGCCGTGACCAACATAATCTCCATGTTCTGCTTCAACTTTTCCTACAAGCATGATGATCCTGATCTGAAGATCATACATGATTACAATAAAAGCATCTTGGATACTCTGGGCAGTGGAGGTCTGGTGGACATCTTTCCCTGGATGAAGGTGAGAATGAGGCCAGGCCCATCGTCAGGTCAGACCCTGTTCCTTCTTATTACTGCCCAGCTCTAGATCCATTTACTTCCTGACCACCTCAGCCACAGTGACCTCTACCTCCTCTGACTTCTTCAAATCTTTGCCACTTCTCTAGATACGTAAACTTAGCTTTGTAACTCATATATTTTAAAACTCACCACAATATATCTTGTTTATTTAGCAATTACCACATGCCAGTATTAAGGACTCTACATGCACTAATCATTGAATTCCCCTGGGAGCTGGGTTTTATGATTCTGCAAATGAGAAAACAGGCTCAGTAACATTGAAGAATTTGCCCAAGCAAAGTCTACTGAGAGGACTCTCTATTGGTGTTTGATGTTTGATTGAATGGCAAAAAGGAAGTGGAGACCACTCCCTTCTCCCTTGTTTGGAATTTTCCTACTGGGCATTCATGGTCCTAGTCTGTGTCCCCTATTGCCTTCCATTTTGGCTGAACGTCAGTATTGGAGTGTGAGCGCTACAGAGATAGAAAGCTAGGATCTGCTTCCAGGAGGGATTCTGGCTATTGGAAAAGCAAATTGACAGAGGTATGGACTGGATATTTCTTTCTACTCCTCAGATTTTCCCCAACAAACCACTGGAAATAATGAGGAATGCTGTCAAGTTACGAAATGAACTGTTGAAGAAAATTCTAGCAAAATACAAGGTAAGTGATGAAGTAGAAGGGAGCATGAGTCCAGCAATGCTGTGAGAGCAGAGAATTGTCCATTTTGAACACCATGGGGTCTCCAGTACCTAGCAGGAAGCCTAGGACATAGTAGGTGCTCAGTAAAAACTGAATGAATGAATGAAGATGGGGAAGTGAAAAAGTGACCCTGACTATCACATTTAAAGAGGCCCTAGTATTGTTTTCTACTTACACAAGGTCATAGATCTCACCCAGTGCCAAGGTAAACGAGGCTTTTGTATGTCCAGTCTGGGATGGAAGCACAGTAGGAGTGTTGCAGATAAGACTCTTTCCTTCTCACTGTCCTCCAATTTCACCTAACTCAGGAAAAATTCAGCAGTGACTCTATCAACAACTTGTTGGATATACTGATCCAAGCCAAGATGAACTCAGAAAATAACAACGATAGTCCACACCAGGATTCAAGGCTGCTTTCAGATGAACACATTCTTACCACTGTCGGGGACATCTTTGGTGCTGGTGTGGAGACCACCACCTCTGTGATGAAGTGGACTGTGGCCTTCTTGCTGCACGACCCCCAGGTAGGCTGCTTCCCATTTCTCTCTTTCCATCCATTCATGACCCCAGCCAGCCCCACTTCTACTTTTCAGAAGGAGGGATTTGCAACACCTCAGGCCTTTTATGCAGGCCTGGGCTGCCTGGCTGGGTGTCTCTGGCCTCAGAATGGAGCTGCATCACCTTCTGGAAGCAGGGTCAGGGCTGCAGAGCCACCACTGGGAAGAGTCTGTCACAGTCTCTTCTGGATGTGACAATAGGATTCTTCCCAGTCTTATGTATCTTGCTCACATCCCCCCTGCTCTGGCCCTCAGCTGAAGAAGAAGATTCAGAAGGAGATTGACCAGAATATAGGTTTTAGTCGCACACCAACTATCAGTGATCGGAACCACCTTGTCCTGCTGGAGGCCACCATCCGAGAGGTGCTTCGCATTCGACCTGTAGCCCCTCTCCTCATCCCCCACAAGGCTTCCACTGACTCCAGGTGTGCCTTCCCTTCCATGGACATCCAGCCCTATGATGCATCCAACATTGCTTGCTGGTCCTCCAGCTCCTCCTTCCCCCTTGCCTGCTGGTTAACCTAGAGACAATCATTGACTAACCACCCCTCCCCATGATCCTACTAATAAACCCACTGCCACCTGCTGACTACTCCACAACTCCACCTGCTTGCTCTGGGATGAAAGATGGGAGCATTCTATGCTCCCTGACAGGCCAGTAGCTGTAGTGCATAAATGTATTGGTGTTAAGTGCATTGAATTGGTTCCGACTGTATAGGGTTTCTGAGGAGTGGCTGGTGAGCACCAGCTCAAAATGAACACTCACATGCCCTGACACGAGTAGCCATGTATCCAAGTATTAGTATATTAATGCTTTGTCAGGAGGATAGGGCTGAGAAGAGCAGGGTTTACACTTACCAGGCAGAGACAGTGAAAGATGAGGGAGAGGGAATGAGGGCTCTAAGGGCTCTTTCCTTAGGGGTTGGGGAGTGAACAGGAAGGGAAGGCAATGTTGCAGCTCTCCACTCCCTCTTGGTGACAGCATTGGCGAATTTGCCATTGATGAAGGCACAGACATTCTCATCAATTTGTGGGCAATACATCACAATGAGAAGGAGTGGCACCGGCCGGACCAGTTCATTCCTGGTGAGTCCCTGCCCTCCCAGGCAATACTGTCAGCCTGGATTCTATCACCCAGAGCACCCCTTCCCTTAGATACCCTCATCCTACCCAATCTCCCCACACTGGGCTTCCCACCTCCTCCCCACAACAGAAACTCTCCTCCTCCAACAAACCCTCTAGGCACTTGTCTCCCCATTAAGCCTGCCCCCTCAGCCTTGCACAGTGACACTTCCATCTGTCAAGACTACCTTCCTTCCATCCTTCCTGAATCTTTCCTTTTCTCTGTGTGACTAAGGGCCACTTGAGAGAAAGGTTGTACCTCTTCTCAGCCAGGGCTTCCTGGGCAGGGTTGTCTTTCCCACTTGGTCAGAGCAGAGGCCTCTCCTTATTCCTGCCCTGGACCTACGCTGGTGCCTCCCTGTGCCCACAGAGCGCTTCTTGGACCCAACGGGGAGCCAGCTCATCTCACCAACCATGAGCTACTTGCCCTTTGGAGCTGGACCCCGTTCCTGCGTAGGTGAGATCCTAGCCCGCCAGGAGCTCTTCCTCTTCCTGTCCTGGGTATTGCAGAGGTTCGACCTGGAATTGCCGGATGATGGGCAGCTGCCCTCTCTGGAGGGCAATCCTAAGGTGGTCTTTATGATCGACTCCTTCAAAGTGAAGATCAAGGTGCGCCAGGCTTGGAAGGAAGCCCACTCTGAGACTGTGTCAAGCGCCCCATGACTCCACCGACTGTAACCAGGAACTCTCTGTTGGTCTGCAACATAGAATTAGAGTTGCTACCCTCGCCACACTCCCATCCCCCACACTCTGCCCAGTCCACCTTGTTTTCTTTCCTAGCCTAGCAGTGGCATGTATAAATGAAACAGTCTATCTGAAGCTTCCAGAACAGTTCATTCATCTACCCATTCTTTCAATAAATATTTTATTGAACATCTACAATGTGCCACTTTACAAGTACTCCAGAGCATTCAAACTCCCTAGTCTCATGAAGTTTATGTTCTAGTGAGGGCTGACAAGTAAATTAAGAATTTCCAAGTCTGGTAAGTGCTTTGAAGACAGAAGTAGAGGGCAGTTGGTCAGAAGAGGTGTGAAGACCAGGGTGGGGGTAGTTCCAGTCTTGTGGGAACAGCAAGTGAGAGGGTCACAAGGTGGGAAAGGTCAGTATGGCTCATGCAGAGAATAGAGGGGAGTGATTCCCAGTGAGATCTGAGTGGGAGACAGGGGTGAGATCCCATGAGGCTGTTGGAAGCAGCAGGAAGGAGTTAATTCCAAGTAAGAAGTCACCAGGGAGTTGTAAACAAATACACGGAGTGGTGTGACTTATATTTGTAATCAATCATCAGTCACGTTGGATGCTGATTAGACGTGGTCTTTGGAACAGTCACAAGGTTGTTATGCTGGCCCAGGCAAGAGAGATCACTGTGGCTTAGACTGTGGGAAACAGGCAAGAAGTAGGCTAGAGTTTGTATTTTGAAAACAAAACAACAATCTTGTCTTTTGTCTTTTGTTTGATACAGACATCAATTCATGTACCTCAAAGATTTGGCTTTGGCAAACTTTTGTAACCCACAAACTTGACACATCCCTACCCATCCCTATGTGTTGGTCCTACAAAGATCAGCATGCCTCCTTTCCCTCATAGTAAAACACTGCTTGGCAAAGGACTTCTACAGTTGCTGTCTGCTGAAGTGGCTGGACTCTGCCGTTTCTCTCCACTCAAAACTCCAGGAAGCCATAAATGCCTCACTGGAACACAGAGCCCAGGTGCCTTTAAAGCAGCATCTTTAAGCCTTGGTCACTGGCCAATCTGCAATTGAAGGATGTCCTAAAATGCTCCCAAATAAATTGACCCTCGCTCTATTTCTTAGAGAGAGAGGCCTCAATCTTAGCTCCCTGACGCCAGGCAGACTAAGGTCAAATGATCAACAACCCAGTCCTTCCCTTGTGACTCAGGAAGGGCTCTGTGTAGTCCAGAAGAGCAAGGCTGGGACCTTGCCTAGCCCAGTGTCCAGAGAGGAAACCATGCAAGTCCCTACAAGGAGGGAGAAACAAGATTTTCTATGACAGCTGTATCTTCTGTATTACACCCTGTTGTTGTTGTTGTTAAGTACCATTAAGTCGATTCCCACTCATAGTGACCCCATATGGGGTTTCCAAGGAGCGGTTGGTGAGATTGAAAGGTCAACCTTTCAGTTCAAACCGACCTTGCAGTCCAGTGCATTAGTCCACAATGCCGCACCAGGACAGGGTACCGCTCCTTACTTCCCCCCAACTCAGTCCTGGCCTTCATTGGCCAGTGGTCCTCTGAAATTGCCCAAGAACCTTTAGGAGAGTGTGTCAGCAGCTGTGGTTGAAGCCAGTCCTCACCACCTGCAGCCTGGGAGAGATGCTAACATCACAGTAAGTGGATAGGAAATGGTTAACTGCAGGTTACTCCGGTCTCTCTCCCAGGAATCTCTGCCCCCATCAGTCAGCTGCAGGACTCAGCTCAAATCTGAAGGGAGAAAGACTGGCAAGACTGGAGAAAAGCATTTCAGATTTCCTCAGAATTTGAAAGACATTTATGCAGGCTAGTGATGAACAGATAAACAATTAGGAGGCAGCCTCTGTTTTCTATAGAAGCTGTGGGTGAGTTTAACTGGGATGAAAACATCCACCTTACAACTAAAGCTGAATACTGAATGCAGGACAATTGGATCAACCTTTCATTTGGAACATGAGGAACTTGAGGGACAGTAGGGGAGGCGGGGTGACTAGCTGCTTACAGCAGGGCTAGGGCCTGAACCCAAGATTCTAATGTTGCGGGATGAGGAGGCGGTACTTTTCCACCTGTCCCATGACCATGCAGAAGGTCCGAGGGCTGTCTGGTGGAGAAAGAACACCGCTGAGTGTTCTTTCAGGAAATAATCCTCCACTTTAGGTCCAGCCTGAGCTCTGTTCTTACAGGCCTGAAGTTCCTTTGTTGTTGTTAAGTGCCATCGAGTCGGTTCCGACCCATAGCAACCATGTATAGGGTTTCCAGGAGCAGCTGGTGAGCTTGAACTGCCAACCTTGCAGTTCAAATGACTTTGCAGTCTGGCGCATTAACCCACAGCACCACACCAGGGCTCCGGAAGTTCCTTTATCCCCCATCTAAATCTTCTCATCTTGAGCTCACAGCGAAGGCCCTTCTCTGGGACATATCCCATGCTTCCCAGTCTACCGGGAGTGTCCCATTCAGCATTCGGTTTCTGGTCCTTGGTACTGACTCCCAAGTGCACATGAACATGGGCCTGAGCTTATTATAACGGACTTGGTTTCCCTCAGGAACACTGTCCACCCCACTATCTGTGAAGTTCAAGGCCAGGTCCTGTCCCTGACTGTCCTTAACCAATGGGTGTAATAACCAATAAATGTTTAATAACAAGCACTCTGTGGGAGTGCCAATGCCAAACCCCAAATCCACTGCTAATTGATTCCGACTTATAGGGACCCTATAGTAGAACTGCTTCATGGAGTTTCCAAGGCTGTAAATCTTTATGGAAGCAGAATGCCACACCTCTTTCTTCCACGGAGTAGATGGTGGATTTGAACCATCAACCTTTCAGTTAGCAGCCTACTTTAATTACTGCACCACCAAGGCTCCTTTGGGTCCCAATAGCCCCGATTTATGGTGTTTGCTGATTCCTATGGTGCACATATTCCCACTGTATTTATTACTTTTGCCTTTTATACAATCCAGTGGTTGTTGTTGTTAGGTGCCATCGAGTTGGTACCAACTCATAGCGACCTTATGCACTGCAGAACGAAACACTGCCCAATTCTGGGCCAACCTCACTACTGTTGCCACGCTGGAGTCCATCGATGCTGCCACTTGGCCAATCCATCTCTTTGGGGGTCTTCCTCTTTTTCTCTGACCACCCACCTTACCAAACATGATATCCTTCT